GCACCAATCCATCAAGTCTCCGACTGTTGCTTTCAGCCAGGTGAGGCGGTGTAGACTGCCTGGCTCGAGTCATCCACACACTGGAAAACAATGGCTCCAAGCCACTCTCAACTGCAAAAGACGCGTTCACTCCTTGTCATCTCCTACATCTTTCAATTCCTCATTATTCTCCATGTAGTTATTCTCTGCTAGCGTACACTTCTACTCAGTAGAATGGCTATTTCGAAGATTTCCCCGTCTCCTCCACCTTCATGTGCTGTATGGATTGTGGAGACTTCAACTTGTTCGCTTTCGTGCAAACTTCTGCGTCGGAAATTCACCTCAGTTGACAAGAGAATTTACTCTCCTCTGATGAACACAGGAGAATCAGGTCGACTGATTTACTTACTACCTGAGATATAAGAGCCAATAGTCATGCAAAGACTGAACACACCTCTGGAAACAAACCCAAGACAAGCGAGCAGATTTCGGGCTCAGATGAGAATGCATTGGTCAAAACTTCACATTTCGAAACATGGACATCACAGAATCCCACATTCGTCTCATTTCACTATCTGCAAGGCGACTTTGACTACATCCATTGACAGCTTTCTTGCTATGTCCGTCCAGCTAACAACCGAGTGATGAGGAATGCCTGCAATATTTAGTGACTTGCTCAAATCCACCCAGATGTGAAAGACGACAACGAGAGATGGCATCTGATATGGAGACAATAAGCAGTAGTACTCGTCAGGGATCCCATGTCACCGTCCTTATTGAATTCCATCGTAAACTGACTAATGACTGAGACTCTGGTCAACTTCAATCGACTGACTTCAAGGATTGACATGCCACTACTAGGGAAGAGTTTGTTTGATTTGGAGTGTGCAGACACACTGACAAAATGGAATATTATAAACACTGAGTATCTTTGATATACAACTCGACCTTGTCTAACGTGAGATAATAATACACACAGGATTCTTCGAACCGACTCCTACTTTAAGGATATGCAGTGTTATGGTTGAGAGTTCTGACCACTTCACTTATTTGAGAGGTTGGTTGCATCAGCTCTGATACACTGATTGACTGCTGATCAAACCTCAGCTCGGATACAAAAGACTCGTCTGGGATTTGCCAACTTCCGCCTTCTCTCGTGCACACGTCATATCCGACTATCCATCAAAGCACGTGTGCTCTCACTGCTCATCAGTTGCCTCCGTCCTCCTTCTTCACGGCTGTGAGACACATCCGTCGTAGGAAGTGGAAGATATCAAGAGACTAGCAGTCTTCAAGCATAGGTGTTCGCCTCCTATCTCTACTATTCAGTGGTATAATATGGCGAGTAATATTGACCCTAAGTATACAGTGTTGGGTGAGGAGGGGAAAGCAATCGATCAGGTGGTGAAGCTGTATCGAACGAGATGGACGAGACGCGTATTGTGAATCGAAAGCCATCGACTTCCACGTTGTCCAATGGTAGCTGAGATCGGATTGCGTTGGGAAAGCGATAGCGGTGGTCAGACCGAAACATGGCACCAATCCATCAAGTCTCCGACTGTTGCTTTCAGCCAGGTGAGGCGGTGTAGACTGCCTGGCTCGAGTCATCCACACACTGGAAAACAATGGCTCCAAGCCACTCTCAACTGCAAAAGACGCGTTCACTCCTTGTCATCTCCTACATCTTTCAATTCCTCATTATTCTCCATGTAGTTATTCTCTGCTAGCGTACACTTCTACTCAGTAGAATGGCTATTTCGAAGATTTCCCCGTCTCCTCCACCTTCATGTGCTGTATGGATTGTGGAGACTTCAACTTGTTCGCTTTCGTGCAAACTTCTGCGTCGGAAATTCACCTCAGTTGACAAGAGAATTTACTCTCCTCTGATGAACACAGGAGAATCAGGTCGACTGATTTACTTACTACCTGAGATATAAGAGCCAATAGTCATGCAAAGACTGAACACACCTCTGGAAACAAACCCAAGACAAGCGAGCAGATTTCGGGCTCAGATGAGAATGCATTGGTCAAAACTTCACATTTCGAAACATGGACATCACAGAATCCCACATTCGTCTCATTTCACTATCTGCAAGGCGACTTTGACTACATCCATTGACAGCTTTCTTGCTATGTCCGTCCAGCTAACAACCGAGTGATGAGGAATGCCTGCAATATTTAGTGACTTGCTCAAATCCACCCAGATGTGAAAGACGACAACGAGAGATGGCATCTGATATGGAGACAATAAGCAGTAGTACTCGTCAGGGATCCCATGTCACCGTCCTTATTGAATTCCATCGTAAACTGACTAATGACTGAGACTCTGGTCAACTTCAATCGACTGACTTCAAGGATTGACATGCCACTACTAGGGAAGAGTTTGTTTGATTTGGAGTGTGCAGACACACTGACAAAATGGAATATTATAAACACTGAGTATCTTTGATATACAACTCGACCTTGTCTAACGTGAGATAATAATACACACAGGATTCTTCGAACCGACTCCTACTTTAAGGATATGCAGTGTTATGGTTGAGAGTTCTGACCACTTCTCTTATTTTTTTGGTGACATTTTACCTAGCGTATTGGTATGTAGCGACCCTTAGGACGTTTTGTGTTTAATTATTTGTTCTTTGTCTTTGACTTTGGGTGTTTTCTGTCTTGTTGTATTTGCATTTCCGCCTGATGGATATTGGTGTATTTTCGTTTCTTTTACGCTGTAACTGTTTTTGTTAAAGGGTGTTTTCCTAATTATGGTGATGACATTATGTTATTCTAATTTCATCGTCGTTTCTGTAGAAAGCACTTACTATATGAATCATATCTACCGAACTTAGGATGTTATATACTGATTGTTGTACTGGACGTGGTTCACAGATGCATGGCTTTTTTCTGACCAGCAAAATACATGATATACACGAATCCAATTCAGTTCCCTATGGGCCATTGTTATAAATGTCGTGATTGACTCAATTAATAGTTCGTCAGCACCACTGCTAAATACATTCAGAATCATTCCAGTAAGTCCTACTTCTATGTCTCGCCCTACACTAGATATGGCTTTTGAAATTCCAGTTACAGCTAGATGACCAATGACATCATATTCAGACAGGTGTTACGTGCTGGGAAACTTTGGCATGGCTGTGGGCAGACTGAACAGTTACTCAAAATGTTCCTCCCATCAGCGCAAATATCTGCCTCACCTGGTTATTGATTCGCAACTTATTAAACAAGACATTTTATGCGGTAATCATGGATAACAAAAAAATCTCTGAATATTCAACATCACGACGGTAGGGTATTACGAGCTGAGACACTCAGCATTTCTTACCTACATTCCATAGAATATATCACAAAAATACAGCAACATGATCCCTACCTAACCATGACTTCCAGTGTGCCACTGATATTCGTCAAGAACTGACTATGAAAAGATGAATATAGAGATGTCTGTCAGGCGGTGAGAAAATTTATCGACACTCAAATACTATCCTCCCCAAGGTTACAACATCTCAGATGTTATGCGAAAAAGCTACTAGGATTTGAAATGTCTGCCTTAGACACAGCATGAGTGCACTTACTGACATTCTGACGAACACACTGAAGACTTCAAGTGGGAGGAAATCTATGCGTTATTCTGCTGAAAAAAATGAGACAATAGAATAGTAGTGACTTTAGGTAGTGATGCTTTTCGAGTTTGGTGATTTAGGCAACGACAAAAAATGCGAACTCTTCATGGATTAATTTGCAATGTCGTTAGAATTTTCTTAAATTTAAACAGAAGTAGTAATATATATTCATCCTTTCTATAGATGTGCAAGTACCGGTGTAATCACAATACTGGTGACATAACAAACTATGTTACAGAGATTTTTGCGACTCAGAAAACTCCGGTATAGTGATAAGAAGAGAAATCGTGATTTATGTAAAAGCCAGACCACTGATTAAGGAAAGTTCTAGTGTTTAGAAATTTATTTCTCCGACCCAACCAACCGACAACCTAACTATTAGTAAACAAAGATGTTAGAATCGATGCCTATCACTAACACCACATTACTACTCCTTTTCTTACACGGATAGATTGCTTAGCCCAACTTCCAGATACGTTCATCCTTACACAACAAACCGGAAGAGAACACTTTCAAACTAGATAACATTCCATTGCATAATATGATGTTATTATCAAACATACGATTCGTGATACGGGATCAACATCTATCGTCCCAGTTTATCTTTATTCGTGTTATTGTAGTTTGCTACATAAATGTGTAGACTGTTAATAAAAGAACGCCAAATATGTTTAGCTTTGATATAGATATATTAGGCAAGAGACTATCACAGTGTCAAAGAAGTTTGACCAAAAAAACGACACAGACAGCCAAAAAAATATAAGTGGATCGAAAGAAAACAAATTTTTAGATGACTAGGTGAAACATTCACACACACACACACACACACATAGTGTATCACTGAAAAGTTACAGGAACTAAGATGAAATATATATTATGGTATAGTCTCACAAAGGTGTTTAAAAGAAATTAAAATTAATGATTATTATCATTATTAGCAATAAATAAAGACAGCGGCAAAACAAGCAAGTATATGTATGTGTACCATAAATACAAGTGAGTTGAATGAAGCAGGATATTAGAAAAAAAATAATATTAAAACAAGTTTAAAAGTCAGTAGCTTAGTGAATATATTTCACGTCGATTGTAAATCATGTTTGCATTGAAATATTATCAGGTGTGAAGACCGTTACATTGTAGAAATTGCAAAAATGAATGACGTTTAATACTGGAAGACATGGAGATAGTAAATATGATATTCATACATATGATTTAAATGTAAATGAGGATGAGACGTTCATATGTACATAGGTTTATATATATATATATATATATATATATATATATATATATATAATACAGTTTGAATGCATGGAGATGAGTACGTTGAGACTTGATGAAGATATCCATAACAAGAATAATTATGAAAGACATTTCATGAATAAATTACCTAATTCCATTGAACAAATTCAGTGTAGAAGGTTGCATCTATAAAACAAAAGTGAACAATACAATGTGAATACAGAAAATAAATGAAAGTGAAGTTCATTGTTTTTCTTAATTAAAAGTTAATTAACTAAGGGCACTATGTCTTTGCCTACCTTGCTAAAATTCTTCTCGATAAAGTGGAATTTTAATACTTTGCAATTCGGTATGAGTATGAAAATGAATTGATCGAACTGAATTACATCGGTTCAACCCACCCAACCTGAAGACATTATCATTTCTAAGAATGTGAACACAACTTCCGCATAGGCTTCAATAACAAAATGTACCCCTAGTGTTCCCTCCAGTTGCCAATGGCAATATAATTAAGACCTATTAATATCAAGTTATCTGTGAGATAACATGAATTTTCACCCAAAAAAGTTGACTAGTCAACTTACAGGACCTGAATACTTTTTTTCCTTCACGTTCCCCAGTGGAACATAGGGCTTCAAGCTAGCGGCTTGAAGTTTCTGTAGCAGTGTTTCTTTTACAGGATGGGGTTGCTAGCCTCTTTACCAGCTTTTTTTTATTACTGGCTTGGCGAGGTAAAGGAGTGCGTCTGCCAGGGATAGAACCCCGGACCATGTGCATGGTTGGCGAGCGTCCTAACCGCTATGCTACCAACGCACGCCTGAATACTGCTAGCGGCTAAAAGGTCAATATGGCAAATATCTACACACTTACTTTCGGAGTTTTAGCTTTGGTAAATATATTCCAAAAGCGTAGTGTTTCATCCCCTGCTCCAGTCACAATATTTTCACCATCTGGACTGATTGCCAAATACAACACTCGATACGAATGTCCGACTAGTTTGACCAACTGAGTAAGACTAGGATATCGCCAAACAAGAATTTGATTCTGTGAGTAGCCATGTGTGCTGACTAATTCATTGCTATGTATTGACCAAGCGATATTGCAAACCTGTTATTAAAGATACAATAATTTAGATACAGAGTATTTCTACATGAAGAGGTCATCAACCAAGTTAAAATATTTATAAGAGACTGAGGACAATCTGCTCTATAAATACTGAGGATGTCACACAATCAACATTGTAAGTATGAATTAATGTAGTTTGTTAGTACATGATAACGCAAAATGCATAAAAATGAACTAGTAACTTACACCGCTAACGTGAAATACGGAATTGACTCTTCCCTGGGAAAGCTTGGAGCTTTTGACTAGGGTTTTAAATGATTATTTAGTAGCAATAGAATACGCAGCAATCAAACTAATTACGTATTCTACTGAAAAACCGAAAAATATACATCAATCAATAAGAAGTAAAACAGATAAAAGCAAATTAAGCACACCTTATAGTATTTTTGTTCCTGTCCGAAGGCTGTGAAATTCTGAAAAATATTTTGCTTAATTGTTATTCGCCCTAATTACTACCATCACTGGTTTTTCGGTATCTAGTCACTGAGACAAATTATATTGCAGTATTGTTAAGCCCCTCCAGGTGCCTCTCACGGATGTTTCGGCAAATAAGTTACGAAAATTCATGGAATACCAGGACCGAAAATTTTATAAACACTCCTTTCAAAACCTTGTGTTTCCACCTACAACAGTACATGTTCTACCATTTTATTATCTGTATTCTCAAATTCTGATGAATTGTTTGTGGTTGGTCACTTCTAATAGACTAAAAACTATTTAACCTTCACATTTATCATCTCAAGATTTCTGTTCCAGAATCTACAGGAAACCCACAAAATGTGACCAAAGACTACCTACTTGGCTTCCAGTATCAACACTACGCAAAGCTTGGCCAGTTAACGTATTCCAAAAACGAATGCAGCGGTCAGCTGTACCACCACCGCTAGCAAGTAATCCATGCTGATGAGGTGACCATGCAATTGCTTTGACAGCAGCAACGTGTTCTTCATAAGTTAAAACCGGACCTCCAGTAGATGGAGCATGTTGACTCCAAACAAGTAGACGATTGTCATTACCTCCTGAAGCCAAATACTGACTATCTGGTGACCACTTCAGTCCACATACCTTTTTATTTAGATGGAATAAACAAAATAAAATGAAGTATTAAGGTCAAAGAAATAAAATGCGTTAGTTAACGTTGCATAATTGCTTTCATATACAACAAAATAAGCAAGCACAACATCGTGTTTGCAACGTAAAACAGTGACTAGTAATTAAATGAAATGACACTCAACTTAAACAGTGAGTTGAATGTAACTCCTTACTTCTTGCGAAGAAGCATGAAGACAGTGTATAGACAGACGTCCAAAGGGACCCAAGTCAGCAGAACAACAAAACTACCGAAATAAAGCTCACACTTGTAACCTTTATAATATGCATTTCAATAATATCAGAATGCAGAATCAAAGTCGCTCAAACACAGAAATCCTTAGTACTACTATAATTACCTCTTGCCTGTGATCTTTCAGCACACGAACTGCCCCGGGAACAAGACGATCTGTCCCATTTTCAATTGATTGCAACGCAGTGCTATTGGTAACAGTGGAACTTGCTGAAGTTCTTGCCGCAGACCACGACGACCCATGCTCTACATCTCGAAAACCGAGTACTTCCATATCCATACGAGCTGGTGTACTTGGAGAGTCGATTTCTGTAAGATTACTAACAGACATTATCGGTGTTGAAGCACGTGCACAATTTAGATCGCTCTCTCCTTGAACAGGATGACTTGGTAAACTCATGGAACTTGGATAATCTTGATCTGTCATCATTTCATCTCTGTCTGCAAGGTCAGCAGTTGGTTCAGAAGCAGTGATGGGATTTGAGTTAGGCAAATGACCAGCAGGACCACCACCAGAATTAGCAGAAGCGCGAGTATCACGAAGTAATATATAGCGATCTCTACTTCCTGATGCTAAAAGATCAGCATTCCAAGCTAAAGCACCAACCCTAGCTATATGCCCGTTTAGTGATCGTATGCAGGAACTTTTTGTCACATCCCAAATTTGAACATGACCACGATAAGTCCCGATCGCCAAATGGCTTCCCTAAAAATAAAACAAGCACAATTGTTTTACAGAAAGTAATTCCGACATAACAGATAAAAAATGTTCTTCTAACGTTAGCAGTTACTTGTTGAATAACATGCTAGTGTACCTACAAAATAAAATATTTATATGCAATGTGATACTGAGAACTCACTCATAAATATCATCATCATCATTATATATATATATATATATATATATATATATATATATGCATACTTTTACTAATAAACATCCATTACATGATGAAAGTCAAAGCGAATTCTCATGGCAAATTCAATCACAATTTTCGTCAGAGACCGATATTCATTTCGGAAATGAATTATGTTTAATGCGCTTTATAACAATGTATAAAGTGATGTAAAATACAGAACAGGATGGTGATAAAAACATATTTTTCTGATTGGACGACATCCCAGTTCATTGCAAACATTTCACGATCGAAATAAGTAGTCATACTAACACTAACAGTTTTAAGTACATCAGGTTTAAATGAAATAATACGGCAGATACTTTTCGGAACCTGAAATATCGTCCAAAGCACGCAGAAAACAAACACACTAACGACTAAGATGCAGTAGTTAACACAAGTATAGGCAATCCAGTGGAAAAGAAGAACATTACTCACACAAAACGTTGTTTTAACCTATACCAATAAGTAAATCAAGTCGATAGTCTTACCTGTGACACTCACTTTTAAATTCTGAAATGCGAAGCGAGTGATTCACTAATTTTATGGCAATCTTCAACGACAAGAGGTGTCGCAACCTTTCGTGTAAAATTAGAATAAAGCTGAATAATCAATGGGGTAACCAAACAATATGGTTTATGCGTATGCATAAAGCAATGAGCACACCTGATGTCATCTGACATTACTTAAACCGCACATTTTTCAGCAAATATTTTTTGAAGTCGACATTACTGTTGGTTAGTTATTACATGTTACTCAATTTTCGCTAGATGCTTCGCTTTGTACAAATAGGTGAATTTTATTAACCATTCTCTGTTATCTTCATCAATGTAAGTCTTATCACGACCAAACGACGAAGTGGGTGAAATCAACAGTTAGTGAACATATCTATAAAAGTACCTTTTTAGACCAAGCGACCGAAGAAATAACATCAGTTTCTCCAGAAACATCGCATAATCGAGTGACCTAAATAGAGAAAAGCCAAGAACTTCAGCTTAGTAAATGAGTAGGCATAAACAGATTGTTAGTACAGACTCAAAATACACAGCTCTTACTTGACTTGTAAATGCATTCCATAAATAAACGCACGTGCCCAAACCAACCGCAAGAACATTCTGAGATGACCAATCCACCAAATTGAGATAAAAGTCATCTTGTAGCTCCGGAGCATCCAAAACTTTATAGGGTACACGAGATATTTTCCGAGCTTGCTGAAAAGTAGAAGTTTCACAAAATAAGTATTACAAATATGAACATGAAAGTAACGGTTAAGGGGAATCTGAAACTTGTCAATTTAATTATTCAACATGCCGAAGACGTCAGACACAATCGACTTTTACTCAAACGAGAATCAGAGCTGTTTTACCCATGTGCAAGAGTTTGTTCTAAAGGATAAAAGTTTATCAATTTACTTGCCTTTTGTGGAAATCTAAGTAGATTTTGGCTTTTTTCTGATACAGGAGACATGGTGTACGGGGAGGTTTTCAATTTGCAAGGACTCTCTCTTCGTAGCTTGAACTGCAGTAAAATAATAATAAATAAAAAATTAAAGAAGGGCAATAATACACAAATACTTCGTTTTTCAAGAGCATTAAGCAGAGAAATTCGGTATAAGGAGAATGTGGCGACTTGAACTTCCGCACATTTGTGCAAAGTTCTATATCGAAAACAGACAGACAGACATAAGGAGAAGAACGAAATCAAGGCTGTATCTAAACGCATAGCAGTTAGAAATGAGAAGAAACAGAATAACCTAACGGACCCCGTTCTTTGTAACCCACCAATTTGCATTGGGTTATACACCCAAAGGAACTAGTACGGTGGTTTTATGATATTTAATTGATCATAACACCCATTCGTGCTCCTGGCACTTTGGTCGCCCAATGGAAAGAGCTTCCCACTCCTAGTTAATAAACAGATGGTTACTTTGGTGGAAAAAAATAATTAAGGCTGCTTGTCACGATGATATCAGCCACGCATTTCCAGCAAAACTGGGTGTCAGCTGACCGAATTAATCAGTGCAACGAAACCCACCCACACTACAGACTTGTTGGTTATGACATTTAATGTCCATAAACCATCAATGGATAGTAAATACCCTATACATAAGCTAAGGACTTAAGAATGTTCCTACAACACAACCGTATCTGTATAAATGTACAATACAAATGCGACATAAGCAATTCAACGAGAAGCTTATGAAATACCTGCGCCATGTTATCCTGATGTTTCCGTTGTACTAACACTGATTCACTTCAGTTCGAATCTAATATAGACTTTACAAAGCGTGACTGGGTTTACTTAAAACTTAGTCCACGCTCTTCGCACAAAATAACGGACTAAACCAATTATTAGCATCTGCTATTGACAAACTCACCTCTCATCAAGACTTATCAAGGGTAAATCAAACATCTAACCTCACTAATGAAGATGAAACAATACAGACTTCCAAGTTTTATCTCGACCAGCCAAGATGTGCCACTCTCGCTTTTAGTTGTCATTGTGTGAAGTCACTTGAATGACCTTAGCAGTTCCTGAGGCTAAACATAATTAGTGCAAACATTACAAAAGAACTAAGTGTTAGAAGACATTACCAGTAGCATTCGATTTAAAACACAGAGCTGTGCTGGCAATGGATAGAACCCTTGAAGCAAACCTAGTAGTACGATCAAACTTTACTATAGAGGAGAACTCAGGCACTCTGGTGCGGCAACATCCACTTGACAAAAATATAGTTTTAATAAATAGACGTTTTATTGCTCATAATAATGAAATTATTATCTTACTGGAATGAATAAACTATTGCAAGTTTCAACCGGGAACTTCAAAATATCACACGCAAAAAATAACTCACGGAAAACATATTATTATTTTCTCTGGCTGCTAAAACTCCATCTGAGTTCCCACATTTAGAATTCACAGGGCTATATACACCGCCCAGTGTTTCCTCAAGCTCATTTACCACAAGGGCAGAAAGAAGATCACTACCTCGCGTCTCGTTTGAAACTGGAGTGTCCTGTGCAACTGAATTGCTACTGGATGTCCCCCAGTTACTCTCTCCGGTAAAAGATGCAAGACTGTGATGACCACTTTGACTTATATGATCTGCGTTGTTGTTAATCCCATCAGTAGACCCACGGCTATTCTGGAAGAGTTTCCGTGTAGGATTGCTGTTAGGCTGCTATAATCAACTTAAATTAGAATTCTTAACTAATTAACCTCGAAGAAGGTTGATGTTTTCCAGCGTGCATTTGTCCTCAAGGGAATGTATCTATCCATAAAGTTTTCTTTAGTTGGAGTCTTCATAGGGCTAACAGTTTTAATGGGCTACAAAATTAAGGAATATAAACGACTTACCGATTTATATGGAGACCCTAGAAGTCGTTTTTCGTAGCCCTGCTCCATCCTTAACCGAATTAGCTAATCCCTGAAGGGCGCCTTTGAGGAATAGGGACAAACAAATCTCAATGTTCAATTGGTGAACATGAACTTTCGTACTGCACATATACAGAAATGAAAGTTTTATTAGTGAAGCTATGAAGAAGTGTCTGAGTTTTCTTCCTGTTTTTGAGAGCTTATCAAAAAAGCTCATCCCATCTGTTGTTCATAATAACTGTAGTTTAAAAGTAGCCGTCCATACTCTATATTACCACATTCTAAATCTATATATATAGTCCCTTTTCATGGACAGTCAAGTGCCAGCTGCAACCCTGTTAGAAAAAGAACTTCATTTTCTGCAAATCCGGATGTGGGATGGATAATTCATGTGATCCTTAATTCATGCTAATTCATACTCTTCATTTTGGTGACCAACAAGATAATGAATATGATAGTGACATTATTATTATTATTGCTCCCTTGGGTTCCTAGTCGAACATAGGGCTTCAACTGCACGTCTCCATTTTCTTCTGTCTTCTGCTATACTTTTCGCCTGCATCCATGTTAATCCATATTCTTTCAACTCCTCTTCACACGATCTCCTCCATGTCACCCTTGCACTGACGTCCCACTCGCCGCTTCAATTTCGGGTTCCACTCGAGGGCCTGACGCGCGATGTCACCCAACGGTCTCCTCAGCGAGTGTTCGATCCATCTCCACTTTCTCCTGCATATTTGTTGGCCGATTGGTTCTTGTTTTGTTTGTTCCCATACTTTCTTGTTGGTGATTCTTTCCGGCCATCTGATCTTCAGTATTGAGCGAAGACAGTTGTTAATAAAGGTCTGCAACCCTTTGGAAATATTCTTTGTGACCCGCCCGACAAGTTTCTGATCCGTATAGAAAAACTGACTGACTTGAAGTTTGTATTGAAAATCCGAATTTTGTTAGTGATGCTGAGTGACGAAGATTTCCAGATTGATTTCAGGCTGATGAATGTGTTTCTCGCCTTCCCGATTCTCGATTTGACATCCTCGTCCGCTCCTCCTGTAGTTGAGACAATGCTCCCTAGATAAGTGAATGAAGTAACCTCTTTCAAATCCCTCCCGTTGATGGTGATTGACGTTGGATGTTGTTGGTTGGTTATTTTCATAACCTCCGTCTTGTCTATGTTTACCTGGAGTCCTGTCTTTGCTGCTTCTTCGACCAGTTTGTCGGTTTTCGCTTGTAAGTCTTCGATTGTGTGTGACATCAAACATAAGTCATCCACGCGCGAAATCCAGGTCTTCTAGGTTCTTCACGTCGGTCCAGGATATTCCTGTCTTCTCGTTTCCCACTGTCTGACGCATAATCCAGTCCACCACAATTAGGAATATCATTGGTGATAGTAAGCACCCTTGTCTGACTCCTGTGTTTACTCCAAACGCCTCGCTGAGTCTTCCGTTGTGGATCACTTGGCAGGTGCCGTTGTCGTACAGCTGTTGAATAAGGTTGATGAATATTTGGGGTACGCCATAGTACTCGAGTAATTTCCAAATTACTTCACGATCAACGCTGTCGAAGGCCTTCTCAAAGTCTATAAAGTTGAGGTAGAGGTTTGATTGCCATTCCATGCTTTGTTCTGTGATGATGATGCGTAGAGTTGCAATTTGGTCAGTACATGATTTGCCTTTCCTGAATCCAGCTTGTTCTGGTCGGAGTTCTGTCTCCAGTGCGTCCTTTAATCTCTCCAGGATGATGCGACTCAGGATTTTACTTGGCGTCGATAGGAGCATGATTCCTCGCCAGTTCTTGCAGAGTGAGGCGTAAGTCGCCCTTCTTTGGTAGTTTCACGAGGTAACCTTTCCTCCAGTCAGTAGGCACCTTTCCCTCCTTCCAGACCTTTTGCAATAATGGAGTCAGCATGTCTGCTGTAGTCTCTGGGTCTGCTTTCAGTGCTTCAGGGGGTATTCCATCTGGTCCGGCTGTTTTTCCAGCTTTCAGAAGTTTGATTGCGTTCAAGACTTCAGCTCTCGTTGGAGGATTGGTGTCAACTTGCAGTTGTGTGCGCGCTGTTGTTGGTATTTCTGGACGGGTTGCAGGTGATGGTCGGTTCAAGAGTCCTTTGAAGTGATCCGCCCATTGTTTAATCTGTTTTTCTTCCTTGGTAATGGGCTTCCCTTGGCTGTCTTTTATAGGTTTCGCTTGTGTTGGTCTCTTCCCGGATAGAGATTTGGTTATCTGATATAGTGTCCTCAGGTCCCTTTTGCCTGCTGCCTTCTCAGCTTCAGTGGCCAGGTTGTCGTAGAATCGTCTTTTGTCCTTCCTAGCACTCTTCTTCACTTCTTTGTCCAGTGCTTTGTAAGTTGAGCTCAGCGTGTCCTTGCATTGAATCATTTTCTCTTTCACCATTCTCCTCTCTTCTATTAATTTCCAAGTGTCCGTTGAGAGCCATTCCTTGTCTTGTCTCTTCTTTCTTCCTAGAACCGTTGAACACGTTTCGTTGAGAATCGCCTTCAGAGACTTCCAATGTTCTTCCACGCATGATTCTTCAGTGATGTCGCGTAGTGTTTCCTGCTTTGCTCTGACAGTTGCAGTGAAGGTGTCTTTTGTGGTTGTGTCCTTCAGTTTTTGAGTGTTGAACTTGCATTGTGGCCTATCCCCAGCTATCCTCGAGGCTTTTAGTTTCACCTTGAAAGTCCCTTGTACTAGATAGTGGTCTGAACCCACATCTGCTCCTCTCCTTGACCTTGTGTCCAGTAGGCTCCGTCTCCACTTTCTTGAAATTGAGATGAAGTCTATTTGGTTCTTGGTGTTTCCATCTGGTGAAATCCATGTCGTCTTGTGTATATCCTTGTGTTTGAACACACTACCGCCAATCACCAAATCATTGAAGGCGCAGAAGTCTGAGAAGAGTTCACCATTGTCGTTCATTTCACCGAGGGCCTCACGACCCATGGTGAGTTCTCTTCCTGTGTTGTCTCCTCCCAGCTTCGCATTCATGTCGCCCATCAGGATTTTGATATCGCCATTTGGGACGTTGTCCATTATTGCTTGTAGTTGTCTGTAGAACGCCTCCTTCTTCTCTTGTTCTGAGACGTTTGTAGGCGCATAGCATTGAATGACTGTAACTTTCCTTCCTTTTGAGTTGAACCTGGCTGTCATTATCCTGGAGGAGATTGGTTCCCACTGCATGAGAGCTTTGGTTGCTGTTGGTGACATTAGAGGCAAATTATACAGGCAATTATTCAGAAGCTACGGATTGTGTGGAGTATTGTGTCTTATTTGTATGGTCCCCACAAGTGGCCACAAATGCACGATGCACCACTGAAAACCAATGCCCTTGACCCCATCGCCATCATCCTTGGAAGACCTAATATTCAACAAACACTGATTATTCTGGAAGTGTCTCTCTCAAAACCAGATGAAAGTGTCTGGCCCTGAAGAATTAGGAGAACCTGAGACTATACACTTCTGACAGTCTTAAGGCCTGAAAGCCGCAGAATTCCTCTCTAAGTTCACTCGTTACTAATCCTAAACCTATACTTACTTCCCCCCTCACATATTCTCTTATAGCTTGTACGAAGATCGGATTGTAAATTGACGCCCTATGGGTGCTAAAATTAACAGTGTCAAACATTGACTTTGTCCCTTCATTACCTTAATTTTCTATATGGTTTATCCAACTAGGATGGTTCGAAAATACTTAATCCAAATAAAGCCTGTTTCAAACCAAAAAGATTTCAAGAAATGAATGAAACGCATATTCAACAACATGACGCACCTACCATATGCTTCGGAAGTATCGCTTTGTTGAACTCAGCATGTATTGGAAATTACATTTGATAGAACTACTTACTGTGAAACGTCGTATACACAAGGCAGTATTAGGAAACGAAAAATGGGGAACTGAGGTTAAAGCTACCGAAAATCAAAAATACGGGAAATAAACTTTCAGCTTGAATCTGGAGCTTCATGATTATGCAATACTACGCACCTAAAAACAATAAACACCCCCAAAAGTCAAGGACTTATCACAAGATTGAGGGAGGAAGTACACACAGACTCAGGCAAATGTACAGTGCAAGGAAATTTCAAGTTCAATTTGGAAGCTTTCCAAAAGGTGGCAGTAGACAACGATTCATCTTCAGGAGCTAGAAACTGGAGGGGAAACTACAAGTGATACATCCTTTTTGCTCACTAAGGCGAATTGAGAGTCATTATTTGTCATAACCGAGAAAATCCGTGTAATAGGCACCGGAACTCTCTGGAAATGATGTTTGTAAAATCGTGTGTGGTCTTCTCATGAAGGAAGCAGGGATGAAGTTAGGAATGCCTCTCAATGCACACGTGGAAGCCACTTGACGAGGGAGGGACGGCAGGAGGGAAGACGAAGCATTGAGAGGATGGACACAGAGTAGAAAAGCTGATTTCAGCTTACAACGCACTGAATAAGGAAACGAAGAAGAGGACTAGAGCGAGAAGGGCAGTTCTGCAACACACCGGATACTGAAACAAAACAGGGTGAAGGTTAGACGGACCTCAGAACTCCATGTCAAATAAGCAAGCGGAAGAGGCCGGTACAAATGAAACCAAGGAATTCACCAAAGGCAGTGAACAAGGAAAACGATGGACTGATAACTACAAAGGACTCTTGAATCAACCACCACCTGAAACTCGCATGGGAATAGTACCAACAACCACGGAAGTGTCCGTGAAGACCGGTCCCTCGACAAAGCTAGAGACGTTTAATGTCATAGAATTGCTGGAAGACAGCCAGAGAAACAGCCGAAACAGACGCAATTCCTCTATGAGCAGTGAAAACGAACTTACAGGCCTCAACGGACATGCTCACGCCCCTAAATCAAAAATCGTGGAAAGAAAGAAGTGAGCATGTGGTGTACAGACCGCCTATCAGAAATATTTTCCTCATTGGGCGGCATGTAATCGCTACCAAGATGCAAGCTGCTTAAAATTTTCCTGGCAAATCCCGCAGATTTTTCAAGGTGTTACTATCCAAATACATTATAATTCCGCTTCAGCCGCTTTTA